CTGTCAGACATTGGACAGCACTGTCAGACACTGGACATCACTATCAGACACTGAACATCACTGTCAGACATTGGACATCACTGTCAGACATTGGATGGCACCGTCAGACATTGGACGGCACTGTCAGACACTGAACATCACTGTCAGACATTGGACATCACTGTCAGACATTGGACGGCACTGTCAGACATTGGACAGCACTGTCAGACACTGGACAGCACTGTCAGGCATTGGCATCACTGTCAGACATTGGACATCACTGTCAGACACCGGACAGCACTGTCAGACATTGGACATCACTGTCAGACATTGGACAGCACTGTCAGACACTGGACATCACTGTCAGACACTGGACATCACTGTCAGACATTGGACGGCACTGTCAGACATTGGACAGCACTGTCAGACACTGGACATCACTATCAGACACTGAACATCACTGTCAGACATTGGACATCACTGTCAGACATTGGACAGCACTGTCAGACACTGGACATCACTGTCAGACATTGGACAGCACTGTCAGACATTGGACGGCACTGTCAGACCTTGGACATCACTGTCAGACATTGGACATCACTGTCAGACACTGGACATCACTGTCAGACATTGGACGGCACCGTCAGACATTGGACAGCACTGTCAGACATTGGACATCACTGTCAGACACTGAACATCACCGTCAGACATTGGACATCACTATCAGACACTGAACATCACCGTCAGACATTGGACAGCACTGTCAGACATTGGACGGCACTGTCAGACACTGGACATCACTGTCAGACATTGGACAGCACTGTCAGACCTTGGACATCACTGTCAGACCTTGGACATCACTGTCAGACATTGGACGGCACCGTCAGACATTGGACATCACTATCAGACACTGAACATCACTGTCAGACATTGGACAGCACTGTCAGGCATTGGCATCACTGTCAGACATTGGACAGCACTGTCAGACATTGGACAGCACTGTCAGGCATTGGCATCACTGTCAGACATTGGACAGCACTGTCAGACATTGGACGGCACTGTCAGGCATTGGCATCACTGTCAGGCATTGGACGGAACTGTCAGACATTGGACATCACTGTCAGACATTGGACATCACTGTCAGACATTGGACAGCACTGTCATACATTGGACAGCACTGTCAGAGCACCTTGCCTGTGGGAGTTGAGCCAAATCATCCTATCCTGGGTTAGGGCAAGATTTAGTTCTAGAGGCAAGTGAGGTTAACTGTTAGTCTTGAAGAAGCTTGTAAACGTTCACAGACCTAAAGTATTGCCAGGTGCTGGTGCTAAACACCTGGTAATTCTAACTACTGAGGAAGCTGACATTTGAGGATTATGGTTTGAAGCCAGCTTGGGCAGGAAAGGCTGTGAGACTCTTAACTCCAATAAAACCACACACACACACTTAAAATTAAAATATACTTTGCTCCTTACTGTTTTTATTTTCAAAATGAAGAAAGGACATTTCTTACATTATTAATACACCCATTTTGACATTATTATTAATAACAAATGTTTTGACTTTCCCCCCCAAAATATTCATTCAAATCCTATCAAAACACTTACCTTTCTTACCATTTGTAAGATCTTTATAAGAAGTTTCTGTTAACTGTAACCAGAGGGCGCTACAAACTTTTCCTATAGAATTTTGTTTTCTAACCATTATTACTAGTTCCAGATAGAAATAATTCCTAAGAGTGGAGTTAGCTGAATTTACCAAGTATCGTTTATTCCAGTGTAGATAGACATCTGGGAGAATTTTGTAAGAATCGGAATAACTCACAGAAAATGTGCTGTGATAACTTGTATTAACTGCATTGAGAGCCATTTTGTCTGTGGACCATCTCTCTTCCTTCAAGAAGTCGAGTGAACAACACATGTCAGCAGCCCCTGGTGTCATACCTGACATAGTCTAGTTGGTCAAGAACTGTTTGTAAAGTGGCTGGAGAGACACAAAATCACTGCAGGCTACACAGTCCTCTGTCAGAGTTTGCTCATGGCATCCAGTGATTCCCCCATGCATACATTCAACCAATAGGTTGAACTGATTGCATATATTCAGAAAAAAATGTGCCTGTACTTCTTTCTTGTCATCCTTCTGTAAACCACGTAATATAACTACTATTTGGAATTACTTTTACATTCAATTAGGTATTATTAGTTCACCTATAGAGGATTTACAGAACACAGGAGGTTATGGTAGGTTGCATGCAAATACAATCATATTTTATACACAGGTATCAAGCATCTGCAGATTTTAATATTCAAAGGGGGATCTTGAAACTAATCACACAGGTCCTGAGCTGAAGCCAATCTGCCTATCCTAGGTGACTGCATGCACACTGCAATCTGTGAAATACTACTTTGTTGACTGACAGATTTTCCTGCAAACCCTGGACTTGGAGCCCCGAGGTGGGACTTGTGCTGACCACGCCTTTCTCACATCAGCTTTAGCATAAAAGTGCCGGTCGGGGTGTGTCGTGTGCTTCTGGGTATGTTGCTAGGGACTTTTATTTAGCAGATTGAGCATGAAAGAATCTGTTTTTTCATTTTGTTCTTCAAGTGATTCTTAAAAACTGGTTGACTGAAATCCATAAGTTCAAATGGGTCATTGACAGAATAAAATTGAAAAATTGTGTGAAACATGTAACAGACTAGAGACACAAAATACTTCTCTTTTTCTACGAAAAACCTAAAACAAAGATCATCAGCAACAATGCCCTTTGTACCGCAATGAATTTGCTCATGCCAGATTCCATGCTACTAGCCTTAGGATAATGTCGAGTTTCATATTGAGAACAGAATTCAACAAGGGAATGAGTAAGAATCTTGAGGAATTCGAGAGGCACGGTCTGTTTGTTCTGCTTTTGTGCCGGTGCTGTTTGCATAGGAGATAATTTATTATTGTCTTCTAGCTACGCAGGGAGTCATGTGCTTGCGATGGTTCTTATGTTGCTGACAAGCTAGGCTGGCCCTGAATAAACAGTACTTCATCATCAACACAATCTAACTGTAGACACAGGTTGGCATTTTATCCCCCATCTGCCTTCTACCTGATAAATTACTGTTTTAGTTACATGTATACAAATACGATTTGTTAATCTACTCAAATGTCTCCTGAATGTTTCCCCTCACCTGGAATTAAAATTGTATATGTACACATGTATTTTCCATTCAATAAGCTAAGAGTTTAGAAAGCAAAGGGAAGCCTTTATCTTAACCACCTCCTCCTCTGGGGAACACCTTCTCTGCATGTATGAGTCCAATCTGTAACCAGTGAGTGGAATTTAGAAAGATTTTTTTTTTTAACTCACCATTGCAAATTAGATTGGACTGGCAAAAATATCAGACAAAGCTCACCACTTAGGGAAAATGGCAATCGCTCCATAGAGCTTTGCTACCCATGTTTCCAAAAACCCAATCATCGAACATTTCAGTGGCCACAAGTCTTTCTTGCCTGAGGAATTCCTAGTGTTAGTGTAGGAAAGGTTGGAAATGTGGGAAGAAAAGGCCCAAATTAAGATGTCGATTTCAAGAGCCCAAAGAAAAATGGATGCTCAGGGCATGAAAACAGAAATTACTTGAACTAATGTATCAGGCAAAAGATGGAGACATGGTCAATCCATTGACGGCATTTGTAGTTGAAAACACACAGGCAAAAACAGTGGAAAATTTCATTCTCACAAAATCCTATTTTACTTCTTTCTTCGCTGCACTGAAAAGTGCGATGTTTTAAGCGGCAGGTGGTGGCTTACACACTCTGCCTGACGTGAATGTGCTGGTGTCACCAGAGAACACAGAAGGGCCTCGCTCACTTCCCCGTTTTCCATGTCCAGCTCCTCAGGTCCTTGGGATCCGTACTCATAAAAAGCATTTCAGGGGGTCTTCATGAAAAGGAGAAGTTCACTGGGTGAAAGTGCTAAGCCAGAGCTTATTTTTTTTTAATAAAATGGGGTTCATTCAGAGAGGGAAGAGAAAAACATTTCTGGCTGCCTTTGCAGAAAAGGGAAGCTTCGAACTGTAGCCTTTATACCTTCGGAACCAGGAAAATATAGACGGTCAGGTAAGTCTAGCAACTGGGAGTCCGGGTGCGTAACGTAGGTAAGACCTGCCCTAAATCCAGGTAACTTCCTTCAAGACTTTTCTTTTGCCAGACCTGGCTTTTCTTCTTTCCTTCTTCACTCACTCATGAAGAGTGCCAAGATTTTTTTTTTTTTACCATTTCTTTAATAAAAGCTGATTTAGATAGCTACTCTTTTAATCTTCTAATCTTGTAATTTAGCATTAAAAAGAAAGTGGGCTGAGTGGAAAGCTTAGCTGCTTTTGCAGCTTGCCTCCTGATTTTAACTTCTGCATCTGGCCCTTTTGATATTTGTTAAGAATAATAGTATTCCCTGTCTCCTCATCTATTTTGCCTCAATCTGAAGAATGTCTCATAAACACCTGAGTACTTGATTTTATGT